CAGTACCTGACCAGCCGGGCTGTGGCTCTTACGTCAGTTTGCGTGTGGCCAGCAGTAACAGCCTGATTGATCAGACCCTGATCCACCACGAGGCCTGGTCTCAGACCGGGCCGAGGGGGCGTTGACCCCCGAAACCTTCTCTAGGTTCCATTCACAATACGTGCACTTTATTACTCTCTCGGTATAGCACATGCACTGTTTTACCCCCTATTCAGAGTAAGTGCACTCTGCTACTTCACAATACGTGCATAATCCACTCCCATGGCAGTCCACCACCATACAAATATCCTTGTGGATCATGCAGCCCTAATGAAGAGCCTTTTACTGGCAAAAGATACTCAATACGAATATTTAATGACGTAAATTACCTAAATTGACATTAAACCTGGAACAAGAAAGAACATTAGTCAGTGCCAACTGAAATTTGAATAATCATGGAAAGAAATATTGAAAGGACAATGATAAATTAGTATCCCAGAGCCTGCATGACCTACACGCCTCTCTACGTCGCTGTCTGAATTACGACTAACAAAACTGTCTCTGTATTGCAACTGACAAAACTGTCTTTGTATTACGACTGGCAAAATTGTCTCTGTATTACGACTGGCAAAACTGTCTGTATGACAACTTTCAAAACTGTCTCTGTATTACAACTGACAAAACTGTGTATTACGACTGACAAAACTGTCTCTGTATTATGACTGACAAAACTGTCTCTGTATTACGATTGACAAAACTGTCTCTGTATTACGATTGACAAAACCACCAGTGGCGAAACATTCAATAAATGTCTTATTGTGCATACGTGTCGTATTTCTACAATCTGTTGTAATTAACTTACTTGCACGTATATTACATGCAAGTATAGTGAACTTGGACCCAGACGGAGGCCCAGAGCCTAGCGGATGTAAGTTGCTTTATTCTACAGTGTTGAACTGCTTAAGGCAATATGTTTATGAACCAATGAGAAAAAAAATGACAAACCGGCGAGGCTGGATATTATTTTCGCCTGTTACAAGACAAACATATAAAACTACTGTAAATGCATAATGCCCCTGGGAGAGGCCATTATTAATCCTTACTTTAGTATTACAGTCCATATGCATATAAAATCATGTACAGTACAGTAATTACAGAGTATTTTCAAATCATATAAACAGCGGTAAGATCAAAACTTTTATTACACAATTCAAAGCAGCTGAGCGATATTGTTGACGGGTTGAGAGACAGCGACTCATCAGTACGACCATATCTAATCGAGTACTTTTCTGAACTGTATAGGTTAGTGGAAGAGCACAATAATCAATGAAAAATTTTGAGCCAGTGGTGGCCAGTACACTAGACTGAACACTACCTGAACTAGTATGCTTTCTTCTTGTTTGTTACCTTTTTAGCATCATTTTTTCAATCATTTATTAAATATCTACTTTTCATTTTCATTTATTGTGTATATAGCACTTCTTGTCTTGCCCTCTACCTGGAGTCTACCTACCTGGAGGGTATTCCGGAGATCAACGCCCCTGCGGCCCGGTCCACGACCAGGCCTTCCGGTGGATCACGGTCTGAACAACTAGGCTATTACTGCTGGCCGCACGTCTGGCCTACAGTGAATATAAAACTGCTTCGACTGCTGTTCGTCTAACTAGTGATGCAAACATAAAACCCATTATCTATACAAGACAAAAGCTACCAAACAACTAGCACCGATAAGAAGGCAAGAGAATGCAACATGCCATTGACCCCCACTCAGACCAGAGTCCAGCATAGGTAAGCCAGCTGTCGCTGCACCACTGATCCACCATAGCCGCCCATCACATTGCCGCTACTGAATGGGTCGTCTTATGATGTATATTTGTGTCCGGTGATTTTTTCCTGAAAAATATTATACTCATGGGAAGAGCTAAACCGGTAAGAGACCCTAATGAATAAACCAACAATAACCTTAACTACATATTAATAATATAGAACAAAATGTACGTAGCAGCCTGGGAGATTTTCTCATCTATTTTCTCCATCATCCATATATTTATTCCATTTGCTCCTTAATTAAGAAATATGAGATGGAGAAGTATGAGATGAAATATGAGATGAAGTATGAGACGACGTATGAGACGAAAAGGAATAAGAGGAAAAAAATATGAAATGAAAAGTGAGATGGCGAGGTATGAAGTATAAGATGAAAAGGTACGAGATGGCGAAGATTACAAGGGTAAATATGAGAATATTCCCCAGAAGACTAATAAACAATAATATACATCACACTTCTAAAAGTTATCCCCAAACTTTTAAAAATAATATATATATAAAACCAAACAAATGCCATACAACCAGAAACCAAAATACTGCAATCAAAAACATGACTATATTGTTAGAACAATATAAAATAATAATTCAAAATAAAACCAAACATTAAAGTTAGGTGATAGCTTACTGCTATTATTAATCTAAAATTAAAAAATATTAAATAAAAATTACATTGTAGTATTTTATTAAAATACATTAATAAAATGGTAAAGTATATATGAATCGCATTTTGATATATCAGAGGAGATATCCTAGGTCTAATATTCCAGCCATCACGATAGTCACTATTATTAAATAATCTTAAACAAGTGCTTTCCGTCACACCCCTCCCTCTTACCATTTCTATCCTTTCAATACTAGTCCTACTTATACCATACACGTAAAAGAAGTACTTAAAATCATGAAAACTACACAGAATGAATTTAATTCACACTACAGCCTCCTTGACAGTTATATGTAATATGTGTAGTGAGTTTGGTGTAGTTCTACTCAGTCTTCACTACCTTGCAAGGGAAGATGGGGATGCCTTGATGCTGCTCGAGGACTCTTGATTAAAAATACTGGAGCCACAATCTCCTTTCTTGAACCGGACAAATGGAAAAATAAAAAAAAATCACTTTTTTTTCTATCCTATGCAATTTACACTACGTATGATAATTGTATTTATGTGTACTTGTGCCTAAATAAATTTACTTACCTCCCATCCCCTACGCATCGTTTTACCCCTACGGATTTAGAGCTTCCAATGAAAATAGCTATATTTCTGTCTGGAATGTAGATAATACCTTTGATTCTGGAAACTATTATAATCACGGAGCAATATTACACTTGTCGGGGTCATACAGTGTTCTGGTGATCGCATAATAATTTATTATGCGATCATGACTAATAATAATTAGTCATGAAGAAGCGCTAGACCTGTAAGGGTCTGTTAATTATAGGTGATAACTGAATGTTGCTCCTCGGTGGATTCTGGCGATAAAATAGTTTAAACTGTACAATACTAAGCGAGTTTCACCTCAGAGATAGTATTATGTAAATGACAAGAAATGTAGTTAAACCTAACGACACCTTCCTTACCTAACTTCAAAACTTAACCTTCCTCTGCCATCGGTCTATATTTACCTGCGTTACATTCTTATTTATGTGCTGCATCTTTGTTAACGTGTAATGATTGCTTACGTGCGCTGTATCTTTGTTTACGTGCTGCATTTGTTTACATGCACTGCATTTTTGTTTGCGTGCTGTATCTGTTAACGTGCGCTGTATCTTTGTATACGTGCTGCATCTTTGTTAACGTGCGCTGCATTTTTGTTTACGTGCGCTGCATTTTTTACATGAGCTGCATTTAACGTGCACTGCATTTTTGTTTACGTGCGCTGCATCTTTGTTTACGTGCGTTGCATCTTTACGTGCGCTGCATCTTTGTTTACGTGCGTTGCATCTTTACGTGCTCTGCATCTTTGTTTATGTGCGCTGCATCTTTGTTTACGTGCACTGCATCTTTACGTTTACTGCATCTTTGTTTACGTGCATTGGATCTTTGTTTACGTGCGCTGCATCTTTGTTTACGTGCGCTGCATCTTTGTTTACGTGCGCTGCATCTTTGTTTACGTGCACTACATCTTAACGTGTACTGCATCTTTGTTTACGTGCGCTGCATCTTTGTTTACGTGCGCTGCATCTTTGTTTACGTGCGCTGCATCTTTGTTTACGTGCGCTGCATCTTTGTTTACGTGCGTTGCATCTTTACGTGCTCTGCATCTTTGTTTACGTGCGCTGCATCTTTGTTTACGTGCGCTGCATCTTTGTTTACGTGCACTACATCTTTACGTGTACTGCATCTTTGTTTACGTGCACTACTTTACGTGCACTGTATCTTTGTTTACGTGCGCTGCATCTTTGTTTACGTGCGCTGCATCTTTGTTTACGTGCGCCGTGATTGGTCAGGCCGCAATACTAAAAGTTGATTTGCTCCGACGTGCCGCAGGTGGCAATTTTTTTTTTATTTTTTTGCTAACATCTCCCAAAATAAAAATTCGCATAAAAAAGTATCTGTTTACTCAGTGGTACGAACTTGCACGCGTCGTAAAATATAAAACAATGTCTGGTTTCCACCGAGGAACACTTTAATTATAACCTTTAAGATTATCATCATCAAGGGGGAAGCGCTAAACCCGTAGGATTATACAACGCCTTGGGGGGGATGTGGAAGGTATTCAGGTTTAATTCAGGGAACTGGAGCACAGATCCAGTTCCCTAGATCAAGAGCCCCTCGCCAGCATCAAGGAACCTTCCTTGAGGGGATAACCTTTAATAAAATTATAATTTGGAATTAATACGAAGAGGCATTCTCGATTATATTCATGGATTATACGAGGCCTGGGAAATGAAAGGTAAAAAGGTTTGATACATGGGGAAGGCAAGAACTATAATTATCCATGGAAAGCGCTAAAACCATATGGGTTGAAGGGTATTATTATTATAATAAAAAGAAGCGCTAAACCACAAGGACTAAACAGCCTTGAAGGATATTAATATTACTGGGGTGCGCTAAACCCGAAGCAATTATACAGCGCCTGTGGGGGAGGATGGAAGGTATTAAAAATTTCATTCAGGGAATTGAAGCACAGATCCAATTCCCTAGATCAAGAGCCCCTCACCAGCTGAAGGATAAAATGAAACTGTTAAGTTACCAGTGGTGTAGGAGACAGCAGATGTGGCTTCCATAAGTGGGTAGTGTGGCTCAGACGGGGGTGTGGTGGGGGAGACCAGTGTAGAGGTGGTGTCAGAGCTGGTCAGCTTTAGCTTGAGGTCACACTCCCCTCCACCATCACCGTTCACAACGCTCTCCATCTTCCAACCGGTTTATCAGATTACCTTCCAACCGGTTAATAAGATTATCTTCACACTTGAGAAAAAGATGTTCAATTCGAGGCTACGGATGAATCATTTATCAAAAAACCTATGAATCTGGTTTATATATTTATATAAATGCCTGTTTTGACCTTTCAAGGCTTCAGCATAACTACCACCGGATTCGAATTTTTTTTTTTTAATTAATTTTGACGTTATTGGGTGTAAACAGTTCCACCCCAGGTACAGGAAACTTGCTATGCTATTAACAGTGGTTTTTATTAGCCACACAAAGTCCGTATATTTTACTACAACACGTGGCCTTTGGCACATAAAATTTAGCTGAAGTTGATCACTTTTCTTGGCAATTGGTGGAAAATCACAATTTGACAGGGCCTATTCAGCGCATTTTGGGAAGTTCTGCAAAGCAACTCTATTATCACTGATGGCTCTAGAATACCTCACCGGCGCATTCATCTTTCTATAAAGTCGAAGAAATTTCACACGAAATATACAGAATGAAGACGCAGCGTGTCACTGTGAGGAGAGAAGAGCGAGATAACCAACCATCGCCCTGGTTGTTGAGCCACTGAGGAGCATCAGCTGGCTGCTGCTGCTGCTGCCGTCACTATGAACCCACCAGCCCAGTGTTGCCGTCTGCTATCTTCCTCCTACCACGTGTTAGCAGTGTCACCCACCGCTAAACCCGTAGGGATTATACAGCTCCTGTTGGGGAGGGGCAGGTTGGGAGGCATTCAGGCTTAATTCAGGGAACTAGAGCACAGATCCAATTCCCTAGATCAAGAGTCCCTCACCAGCGTCAAGGAACCTTCCTTGAGGAGGCTACCGCGTTAGTACATTATATTCATGGGGGTGGGAGAACACTAAACCAGTAGGGATCATACAGCGCCTGGGGAATGAAATTACCATAATCAAGGGGAAGCGCTAAACCCGTAGGATTATACAGCGCCTGTGGGGGGGGGAGGTGTGGAAGGTATTCAGGCTTGAGGGAACTGGTGCTACAGATCCAATTCCCTAGACCAAGAGCTCCTCACCAGCGTCAAGGAACCTTCCTTGTGCGGCTTCGCCAGCGTCAAGGAACCTTCCTTGAGGGGTGGGGGATTATTATTATTATTAGTTTCATTCATGCAAGGAGTGGGAGCGCAGGTCCAATTCCTTAGATTAAGATCCCCCTCACCGGCATCAAGGAACTTCCCTTGAAGGGCAGCTCATTATTAAAGTACATCTCTGGAGTGGTAAGAAATTACGTTAAGGGGGAAGCGGTAAACTCGTAGTGGTCATATAGTGTCGAGTGCAATAGGAGGCATTCTGAGTCGATCAATAAATAATAATAATAATAATAATAATAATAGTAATTATTATTATAATCAAAAAGAAGCGCTAAGCCACAAGGACTATACAGCTATAATGTAATTAAGAGCTTGTGCTCCTTCCTTAGGTGGATGTGACCTGACTGTCCAGGTTGGGTCATTGGCTTAAACCGGTAGGCGACTTGGACCTGCCTCGCATCGGCCAGTATGCCTGCTGCAGCCTTCCTTGTTTTACGTTCTTAAGGGAGTTATACAATGCACAGCGGTGCCGGGAGCTTTTCCATGACGTTTACGAGAGTCGAGACCACTGAAAAATGAATACCCGTGCAAAATTAGGTCATAACCACTGAATTGGTGTCCAGCAGCAAGTCTTTGGATTTACTATAATAAAAAACCAAGCATTAAACCCACAAGGGACTTGAGTTTACTAGAAATACGGCATAACCAGTGTATTATTATTATTATAATCAAGGGGGAAGCGCTAAACCCGGAGGATTATACAGCGCCTTGGGGGGGGGGGATGTGGAAGGTATTCAGGCTTAATTCGGGGAACTGGAGCACAGATCCAATTCCCTACATCAAGAGCCCCTCACCAACATCAAGGAACCTTGCTTGAGAGGACATAACCAGTGTAGTATACTAAGAACGGTGAGAGCCAAATTTCTGAATTAACTCAATGTAGGAGTAAATGGTGAAATAATCAACAAGGACTGAAGTAAGGAAGTCAACACAGATTTAGTGCCTTGATACATTAATTAGGGAAAAGTGCTAGGCCAATAGCCAGATAGTGACCGAGGAATGAAAGGCAACAGGACCTGGGAGTGGTAATGTCCAAGAATCTCGCCTTCAGGGATCACAAGTGCCTCTATCACATCTGCGAGGAAACTGATAGGAATGAGAACATTCAAGACAAGAGATGCCAAGCCAATAATGATCCTTTTTAAATCAGTTCTCTTTAGACTGGAATACTGCTGTACATTAACATCTCCATTCTAGGCAGGTGAAATTGCAGATCTAGATTATTATTATAATCAAGGGGGAAGCGCTAAACCCGGAGGATTATACAGCGCCTGGGGGGGATGTGGAAGGCATTCAGGCTTAATTCGGGAACTGGAGCACAGATACAATTCCCTAAATCAAGAGCCCCTCACCAACATCAAGGAACCTTCCTTGAGGGGTGCAGATCTAGAGAATGTACAGAGAACTTTTACTGCACATATAAGTTCCATCAAACACCTTAACTACTGGGAACGCTTGGAAGTACTCGACTTTTACTCACTGGAGCGCAGGCGAGATATACACATCTATACCTGGAAGGTCCTTTATTATTATAATAAAAAAAAGAAGCGCTAAGCCACAAGGGCCATACAGCGCTGCATTATTATAATAATCAAGGGGAAGCGCTAAACCCGGAGGATTATACAGCGCCTGGGTGGGATGTGGAAGGCATTCAGGCTTAATTCGGGGAACTGGAGCACAGATCCAATTCCCTAAATCAAGAGCCCCTCACCATATACAGCGCTGCAGAAGGTCCTGGTCCCCAATCTGCACACAAAAATCACTCCCTATGAAAGCCAGGCTTGCAGTGATGCAACATACCCCCAGTAAAAAGTAGGGGCGCCATTAGTACACCTGGTGGTTAACGCTCTCGCTTCACGCGACGAGGGCCTGGGTTCGATTCCCAGCCAGAGTAGAAACATTGGGCGTTTCTTTCCACCTGTTGTCTATGTTCCCCATCAGTATTATTATTATAATAAAAAAGAAGCGCTAAGCCACAAGGTCCCCATCAGTAAAATGGGTACCTGGGTGTCAGTAGACTGGTGTGGGTCGCATCCTGGGACACTGACCTAATTTGCCCGACATGCTGAGCATATTTATTATTATAATAAAAAAGAAGCGCTAAGCCACAAGGACTATACAGCGCTGCAGGGCAGGAAGGAAGCGAGGGCATCAGGTGGCAAAAGGGAGATGGATGAGTAATAGGTTACGAATAACAGCGGGGCAGTGGATGGTGAAAGGGTAAAGGGCAGCAAGAGACTGAACTAGAAAGGGCTGAGGGGAGTGCGAAAAGTATCATCAGAGTTTGTGGATTATTATTATTATAATCAAGGGGGAAGCGCTAAACCCGGAGGATTATACAGCGCCTGGGGGGGGGGATGTGGAAGGTATTCAGGCTTAATTCGGGGAAGTGGAGCACAGATCCAATTCCCTAAATCAAGAGCCCCTCACCAACATCAAGGAACCTTCCTTGAGGGGCCAGAGTTTGTGGAGTAAATAAGTCGTTGTCAAGAAGTCAATGAGAGAGTCAGGATTAAAGGAGGGTCCATCAGCAAGAAGGGAAGGTAAAGAGAGAGTATTAGAACGAAGACGACGTTGGAGGTAAATTCTGCGTGCCGTTGATAGAGAGGGCAGTCTAACAATGTGGCTAATCGATACTGGAACTTGACACTGCTCACAGAGGGGAAACAGGGTGCCTCTCCATGAGATACCATGAGTAAGACGAGTGTGACCAATGCGAAGGCGGGAGAGAGTGGTCTCCCAACCTCGGCACTGATGACAAAAGACGGCCAGTAACCTATGCTCGGTTTAATAGAATGAAGTTTGTTACCAAGCAGAGTTGACCAACGTTGTTGCCAAGGGGTGCGAAGGTGGTAGCTATTGCAGCAAAAAAGTCCAGAAAGGAAGGGGGAAGCGCTAAACCCGGAGGATTATACAGCACCTGGGGGGGGGGGATGTGGAAGGCATTCGGCTTAATTCGGGGGAACTGGAGCACAGATCCAATTCCCTAAATCAAGAGCCCCTCACCAACATCAAGGAACCTTCCTTGAGGGGATGCTGAGCATAACAAGGGGCTTTCTATATTGTTATTAAGAGAAAACAGTTTCCGGGGCCCAAGACTGATCAACAGCCTCCCACGGCCATAAGGGGAATTCCAATAAAACCTGGTTGTCTTCAAGGGGGAGCTGGACAGATACCTAGAGTCAGTGCCCGGGTCAGCGGGCTGTAGTTCGTACGTTGGACTGTGCAGCCAGCAGTAACAGCCTCGTTGATCAAGCCCTGATCGACCAGGCCGCGGGGGCGTTGATCTCTGAGTACCCTCCAGATAGATATGGGTTATTTTTATGGGTTATTTTAAGTTTTGGGAGTAACTGTAAACTTTCAGGGATTATATAATTTGGCCTTGTCCTCTCAAAGAAACTAAGCAATTGGAGACTAACCTAGGACATTGACTGCCCTGAATCATGCAACTCATTAAATTACTTAGTTACATTCAGGAAAGCCTCCAAACTCACGAATCCTTCTGTGCTGAAAAAGGGGGGTGGGTTAATGCTCACGGTAAAGGGCGGAAATGAAGGGGGTTAGATAAAATGGATTGTGTATTTTATAATTTAGTAAATTCTTTAGCATGCGTAGAAAATTATAAAAGTGGGGGGGGGGGGGTTATGGAGACAAACCGTGGCTCATTCAGCAAATGGTTAAGTTATCCATTTTATGCTGTGCTAAACTAGTGGGGGTAGTTTGTGAAATTGGAGGCAGCCAGATCAGATCTTCAGAAATGGAGGAAAATTCGTTCTTTGTATCAAGTACCCTTCATCGGAGTATACGTAAACGACATGGGCGAGGAAATGGACATAAGCAAATTTGCTATGACAAATAGGCTGCCAGATATCTAATGATCAGGACACCAATTATTATTATTATTATAATCAAAAAGAAGCGCTAAGCCACAAGGACTATACAGCGCTGCAGGGCAGGAAGGAAGTGAGGGCATCAGGTGGCAAAAGGGAGATGGATGAGCAACAGGTTACGGATAACAGCCGGGGAGTGGATGGTGAAAGGGTAAAGGGCAGCAAGAGACTGAACCAGAAAGGGCTGAGGGGAGTGCGAAAAGCATCATCAGAGTTTGTGGAGTAAATCAGTCGTTGTCAAGAAGTCAATGAGAGAGTCAGGATTAAAAGGGGGGTCCATCAGCAAAAAGGGAGGTAAAGAGAGAGTAGTAGAACGAAAACGACGTTGGAGGTAAATTCTGCGTTTCTCGTTGATAGAGAGGGGAGTCTAAAGAATGTGGCTAATCGATACTGGAACTTGACACTGCTCACAGAGAGGAACAGGGTGCCTCTCCATGAGAAAACCCATGAGTAAGACGAGTTGTGGCCAAAAGCGAAGGCGGGAGAGAGTGGTCTCCCAACTTCGGGACTGATGACAAGAAGACAGCCAGTAACCTATGCTCGGTTAATAGAAATGAAGTTTGTACGAGCAAAGCTTGGACCAAAACG